CGGCCTGCCGCTGCAGCGGCAGCGACCCCGGCGGTCGCGGAGAGGTTTTTGACGAGGGGATCGTCGTCAGGACGCCGGTGAGTTGGCGCTTAGTCTACAGTGTACGGATTTGCTTGCTGTTTTTTGGGGGGCTTGGTGCGCAACTTTTGGGGTTTTGCCGGAGGATTGACCTTCATGTAGCGGAAATACAGCCCTCTTACAGGGTAGGATTATCATGTGGATAGGTGCATTTGGGTCCAATTGTGGGCTGCTTGTCGCCCAATAATTTGTGAGAAGCTCAAAAATGAAAATACAGCGGCTGTGAAGCTTTCACGCATGGGAAGCACTTGGCCTATCGGCCGTCTGGTATCCAATGTCGATGAGAAAATGTGGTTTCCTGGTCTGCTGTGAGTTTTGAGGTTTGGGTTTTGGTTTTCACGGCTAATGCTACATGTTATGTTCCTATAAATCCTACATGGTTGATTGCAAGTTGCTTCAGAACTTTTTCGAGAGCAGGACTGGGTGCCTGTCGAGCCAATTTAGATTACTGCATTTCGTGCTAATTTTAGATATGTGCTCAGTGTTGTTTCGCTTAGTTGCAAGCATGATGCAGGAAGAAAGGTCTCAATTCAGCCGCTTCTATTTTTTATCCTGTTTATCCACTTATTTTGTTGCTACAAGCTGCCATGCCTTGTGCTAGATTCTACAAACTAAAGTTTCAGCTTGTCATCTCGAATACTGGGTTATGTTCATGTGCATCTTAGGGCGTCCACAGTGGCCTCTGCCAAAATCGCTAGCGACATCGAGTAAAAAAAGAGAAGCAACGAAGAGGCAGACCATGGGAAGTAGAGAGAGATAGACACAGGTTTTATTGGAAGCCGTGCGAGCCTAGCGTTTTGGCCAGCGCTAGCGAAATGATTTCTTACCTTCTCTCTCCAACAGATAGTATAAAAAATACTCCTCGCTAGCTATTAGGAACTCCGTTGGGGACGCCCTTAGGCGTAGAGACTTGAATATACGGTTTATTCCCTTATCTAAGAACATCCTGGATGCTGGTTTGTAGTGTCACCAGTTTTATTTGATGCAACAGAGCAGATCACCTTGGAGCATTATACGTGTTTCTAATTAAAGGTTTTAGTACCAAATTGATGTGGGAACATGCAGCTCTTGGATAGTTAGCAGAACTTTTATGTTGAAACTCCACAAATATAGTCGTGTTAGCATTTATACATATTCTGAAATTTCTGAGAAGGATCTGTACCTTAGGATCAGCGGGTAGCCACTGTCAGGATACTGTCTGTATAATCTAAGCATCTATTCCTAATGCTGACACAACTTCCACAAAGTTTCTTCGGGATCAGGAACTGTACTGTAATTTTGTTACAGAATACTCCATTGTGATCTGTGATACTGCATTTTTTTCTAATATATCTTTATGGTTGAGACAAAAGATCTCTGTAGCCTTTAATTAGCATCTGAAATATGTGTCATATCACTTCTAAATTTATTGAAGTTTTGTCAGGGTTTAACACATGCTGCAGTCTACCACTTGTGGCCATATCGAGTGTAAGTCGCCACTAATACATTTCCTCCTTTTATGTCCAGTTAAGAAGAAAAGCTCCCTATGGAGAATGTGGTACTGCTGAGTCAACCGGATGGAGTATGGCCAGTTCTGGGTTCATTCAAGGAGTTGGCAGTCCACGAATGACCCCAATTTCTGGAAAAACTGCTAGGAAATACAAGTCAAAGTCTGAATGCACCAAAGCTGGACCTCAGGCACCCACATTAAATGCTGGCAAGTATAAATTCGTTGATCTGGTTCTGGTTACATCAACGTAGTTTGTTCTTACAACTTCCTCTTATGTATTTGTTCTGTCTGTCTGATAGTTAAATGCATAGTGCCTTTGTGTTGTAGCAGGTTCACCTGGCAACCCACCTACTCCTGCTGGTTCTTGTCGCTATGACAGTTCATTAGGTGATTTTTAGCACTCTCGTATGATAAATTGACTTTTACAATACTCCATGCGGTGCTTATTAGATATTCCATTCTGGTTACATTGTTTCATATCAATTATTTTTACTATTATCTTGTTTCATATGAATTCTTTAACTGACACCTATTTATGTGAACATGTGATATTTGTCCAGCACTGTTGACAGAAAAGTTTATCAATCTGCTCAAGGAGGCTGAAGATGGAATTTTAGATTTGAACAGCACAGCAGAGACGTTAGGTGTATGGAACTTTTCCTCATTTAAGCTGGCATTTCTCTTTGTTTCTCTTGAGTCTTGATGCAAGCTTCGCTTTGACTACAAAAACTCAGGTTAAAAAGAGGCGCATGTATGACATTACAAATGTCCTTGAAGGAATTGGTTTGATAGAAAAGAAGTTGAAGAACAGAATCTGTTGGAAGTGAGCATTGTCTTCTATGCTTACAAGTTATGGTTATATTATATGGTGCAACATTCTAACCTTATGATTTTGCAGGGGTTTGGATAAATTGGGACCTAACTTGGGTTATGATCTTTCAGTTCTGAAGGTACTTATTTTTGCTCTTTCCGTTTCATGTAATCATGTCCATATTATCAAACTCATGGTAAATGTCCCTGTACCTAGACATGATACGCCAAGTCTAAGTTCCACTTGGTGTAATCTCCTTGCAGACAGATTTTGAAAATCTTAATCTACAGGAGCAAGCATTAGATGAACATATAAGGTTGGTAACCGCTGGAGGTTGCAAAACTATTGACTGCAGTTCTCAATGTTGCTATTTCAAATGAGAATGGTGATACAGTCTAAAAGTATTTCTCCTTGCAGTAAAATACGGGAAAAGCTGAAGGGCTTAACTGAAGATGAAAGCAACCAGGGGTAATCATATTAATTTGTGTCAGGATGCTTGCATACCACAGTCACCGTTTTACTTTATAATCATGTCTATTATTCCTGTTTAGGTGGCTATTTCTTACTGAAGATGACATCAAGGGGTTGCCCTGCTTTCAGGTTCGCCTACATGTTAAAGAAATTCTGAATTATTGCCTTTTCCAAATTTCATCTTATTTCTGATTATTCCGAGTAAATTTCATCCTATGTTTGACTATTTTGGCTATCCTTAATACCAAACATAACTATGCATAGTTAATTCTGCTGTGAACTCATATATCCTTTTTCAATCTGCAGAACCAAACACTAATTGCAATAAAAGCACCTCATGGGTCTTCTTTGGAAGTGCCCAATCCTGATGTGGTAAGTAACCAGGAAAACAATAACCAGTCCATTACTCCATATACGATGCGTTGCATGTTTAATTATCATTAACTGTTTCATAACTTTAGCTCATTTATTTCATAAGATGACTGGCGATAGCCTTCAAAGGAGATATAGAATAGTAATACGGAGTACTACGGGTGCAATTGATCTTTACTTGGTTAGGTAATGTTTAAATCTTCTCTTGAAGCTGGTGCCTGGAAAAGTAAGTTGTCTGACATACATCCTTACTATATTGTTAGTAAAACTGAAGAAAAAATGGAGGGAAAGCTGGATGATGCTGCAGCACCAGCAGGGCACACAAATGTGGCAAAGCATGGCTCCATAAAATGCCCCAGAACAAAAAGAGCTTGGCAAATGAGTAGAGAGGAGGAGGTGGTGCTTAAGGCTCAGAAGACCCAGAAAACTCCAGATCTAAATCCCCCATGTCATTCTGAAGGAGTGCTGAGGAAAATTAATCCTTCAGATGTTGACGTAAGTTAGATTTGAACTTATGAAGTTTACCTTTTTTTATATTATACTGTATATAATATCTATACAAGGTGATGGTGATGCATTCCATAATCATATCATTTAACTAAGAACATCGAGCCTTATGACTTCATAGAAGAATTACACAATTCTGAACAGTTCTACATACATGTTCTTAAATTGCATCTTAATTTCTTTTTATCCCTGTAATTGCATCATTTTAACTTGTGAAGATACATTGGGTTTTCCCCTACTTGCTGTATCTTTTCCGCCTGACAATATCAAAGCAAATAGTTGACTTAGCTATTCATGGTCCTACTACACTTTTGCAGAGTGGAGCGGACTACTTGCTGTTTACAGACTGTGATGTTAGCATCACTGATATGTGGAGAACAGAACGTATCCTTTTTTGAATACTAGTACTAGTATTCATGAGGTCTTGTTTAAATGCCGTCTACAATAAATTGCAGTTCCTGAATTGAAGTATTACTTAACATGGTAATAGCAGAAATGCAGTTGGAGGAGATAGACCCCAATGATTTCTTAGCTGAAGAGGTGAGCTCACCAGAGACAATCGAGCAGTAGCCAGCTGCAGTTGGTGTACGTACAGCTGTGGGCTCTAACCAAGGTATTACTACGCTGGATGTTTTGGAACGAACTGAGCTCATTTTGGATGGCAATGTTCCTTTTGAGACTCCTGGGAGGGGTGGTTTCTACCACGTCACACGTCCTTTCTCTCGTGTGGAAGGTAGGATACAGCGGTTGAGATATGCCTGGTGAGATAGGCCTTTTGTTGTGGATTGTTGCTGTCACACATTTGGTGGCTTATACAGCGTATGTGTATCAGTGGCATGGATGCAGAACAATGCGGCAATCAGGTGTATAAACTGAATCGCTGGTTAGGTGCATTTCTCCAACTTTTAGGGGTCAGGCTTATGTCCGTCTGATTCTGCCTTTGGACGGCGCCACAATTTTTGTGTACATATTATGCCTAGGCTCTCTAGATGTGTAGAAATTACTAGTAATGTCAAGCATCTTCAGCAAAATCCATGCTGAAAAGTGTAAATCTCATCGCTAAACTCTGAAGCAACTGCATTATCAGCTTCTAGTTTAAAAACTATCCACTCGTCATTCATTATTACTGCTAGTTCAAAATCGTTATTGAACAGCTTTTACAAAAGCAGCACCAGATAGATTCACTGGCATCGCCTAGTAGAACACACCTATATATATATAGCTATTTGCATAGACTACATGATTCAGCGAGAGCTGTACTTGAGTGGTGCATCAGTCGCCGCCCTTGCTGATCTTGCCAATCCAGCTGGCCACCACCGGCGTCAGCGCCACCGTCGGCGGGAACCTGATCGGCGACGCGGCCTTGTGCGCGGCGTAGGCCAACGCGAAGGTCCCGACCTTCCCTCCAGTTTCCCCTGTCACGATCCCGACCTGCAAGCAACGCACGAGGGCCATTTGTGGCCTCAATTGTGAGCCGAGGGCACAGTTGGTGAGGCGATTGCACAGCTGGCTAGAGGTAGCAGCTCACCTTGGCGAGCAGCTCCTGCACGTCGACGCCGGCGCTGATGAGGAGGTAGCAGAGGGTGAAGGAGACGAGGGAGAGCGAGATGGAGGTGGCCAGGTACGCGCCGCCGTACTTGGCCAGGAGCTCCTTGGCCTGGTCCGTCCGGGACTTCTTCCCCTCGCCCCCTTCCTCCTCGTCCTTGGAGCTGAACACCTGCAGCCACGCAGAGCGCAACACAACTCGCTCAGCTCACATGTGCTTGCTTCGGAGGCTGAAACCTGAAAGGGGTGGCTGCCTCGGTGTCCCCCGCTTACTTTCCAGAGGCCGAACTCGAGCCCGTACTTCTCGGTGATCTCCTCGGCCGTCTTCGCCTTCCCCTCTTTCGTCTCTTGCACGGCCGAGACCGCGAGCCGCGGCCGCTGCCGCCGCGGAGGCTGGAGGGACCGAGAGCGAGAGGCGAGGGAGCCGCGCTGAAGCTGGAGCTGGAGTTGCGGCTGCAGCGAGCTGTGGGTGCGGCGCTGCGTGGCCGTGGGCGCCGCGAGGCTGGGAAGGAGCAGAGCCGCTGCCGCCATGGTTGGGCGGATTGGCTGAGAGCAGAATTGGTAGGAGGACAGGAGCAGAACGAAGACGAGGTGGGGACACGAACCGAGGCGGGGTGGGGCCACGCCTGTTCGCTTGATCGCAATCGTGAACCGGGCCAAACAAAACCAACTTTAAATAATCCACAGTCGGTTTACGGCCTCCCCAACAGACTGAGGATAGGAAGAACCCACGGACTTGCTGTGCCTGTGGAGTTGTGCTTGCTTACGCTTGTGATGGACGGCTGAAATGCATTTGGGCCTCCGCGTTTCTGGGCCTCGAGGCTTGTTGTGTGAGAAGCCCAGGAGTGTCAACGTGAGGTGGAAGAAGGGGACAAGTTGCCTGCCGCTGTGCCATGGAGTACGGAGGACCAGCGTAGTCCTTGGATTGGAAAAGTTGGAAGCTCTTGAACATCCAACACAACTTTGTAGCAATATCTTTCTTTTTCTCTTGAAAGCGTACGTAAAAGACTTACGTATCATTATATTAAAAGCCAAAAATAGGATTTATAAGATACTGTAAAAATTATACTACCCGAAAACAACAGCTTCTAAAAAAAACATCACACTTTTTTACAGTAGAAACACTTTAAAAAACCGAACCAAACACAACATAAATCATTCTATGCATTTATGAACTTCTTTAAGGTGGTCTCAATTGTTTGATGAGCTTTTTACTTGTATGGCCCTGGAAAAAAATACATCTTCCATGTATGACTCTTTTTCTTTTGAACTTACCTTTATATGCCCTAAAATGAAATTTCCTTTATTCTATGGCCTTTCGTCCGTTTTTGCCACTTGGCAGTGTTAAGTCAAGGGTAAAATGACCATTTTATCCCAGACAAAAAAAATAAAATACATAGTTTTGTTTGTTTGTTGTACATTTGGAGTAATATTATGCAAATAAGTTCACATATAACAATACATAATAAGACACATAATTAAATATACAAATATTACAATAAAATGAGCTTAACAAATGCATAAAAAATTTGTATAAATGCATTGCAATTAACCATAGGAACCAGGCCCACCGCCGTGGATCCGATCCTATGGCCTCGGATGAGCTGCCATGTTATAATTTGGAACGATGGAAGTATGTTTTTTATGTCAAAATTTCCTCATTATTATTTCTTTGGAGCACACAAGAATAAAATTAGATAAAGATATATTTGGAACCTCAACAGCATGCTGACGTGATGGAATTGGTGAGCTTCAGCATGTGCTTGGTTTGAAGGATAGCACATAGCAGTAGAGGATAATAACAGCTCTGTTAGCCCTGTTATCATGGGTCCCACCTGTCAGTCAAACTTCACCTTATCTCTTCCCTTTCTCCATCGTTTCCCTGCGGCTCCAACTGCTAGACGGAGACGGAGGAGCATCTTTGGCCGCCCCCAAGCTCGGAGCTCCGCCAAGCGCCGACGAGCTCGCCCATAGTCGCCGGCCGTCGATGCCCCTACCCATGGCTACGCCGAAGCTCGGACGTGCAGCGCTCAGCGAGCTCGCCCACGGCCGCAGCTGCCTATCTCGACGAGTGTCTCCGGCAGGAGGCCGCCCCCAGCTCGCTGCTTCTGCTCCGCGCCGACGAGCTCGCCCATGGTCTCCGGCTATCCCCGCTCCCACCTGGCTCCAGCGAATCTTGCCCCGTGCAGCACTCGACGAGCTCGCCCGCGGTCGGATTCGCTGCGCCCGTGGCCGCGGTCGTCTACGCGCGAGGACGAAGACGCCGAGCCGCGGTCTCGCGCCGTGTCGCTTGCTCGCGCCGCACTGCGAGCCTGGTACGGTCATCTTGCGGGCGTCAACACCGGCAGGCGTGCGGGCAGCCGCTCAGGCGTGTGGCGGGCGGCGGCGTTTGGCGGGCGGTCGTAGCTCGGGCGTGTCCGCGGTGGAGCTTCACGGCCGCCTATGCAGCTAGCGGCTCGTGCGGCCAGGGGCCTAACACGGCGGCTCATCCGTGGCCATAGGATTGGACAGTTCTCCATAGGAGGGGGCCCGGCCCACTGTGGATCCGGCGGCTGAGAGGCCGGCCGCGGCCCCTGGCCGGCGGCGGCGGCGCCCTCCTGCATCGGGCCTTTTTCCACCCCCGCGGCGACAAAAAGCTCGTATTGATCGGTCCGATTCGGTAGAAGTGACGAAGAGCAGAAGAGTAATCTAGGAGTAGACATTTCACGTATGTACTAGTGGGGAGAATAAGGCCGTGCCCAACGCTACACCGTGGATGGTGGTCTCATATGCCACGTATGCACCCTACAGAAGGCTATGCCTATCAAATATATACTACCCATATTTTCTTATGACTTTACCCAAAATTCTTCCTCTTTTCATGCCATTGTTACTTTAAGTAGTAATATGTATGCTACATGTATCATCTATGAATAATCATTTCTAACGTTCCGTATAATCCAATCATACTTCTGGTATTCATTGGTTCTAGCATTAAACTCACATATCAAGTGCACTATTCAGTGTACAACAACATATTCAGGGTAGGATTTAAACTTCTAGTTTCTAAACTGAAGTATTAAATACTTAGTTTTAGGATTATACTATTTCTTGGCTAAATTGATCCTTCTAATATCATTTAATATGCCAGGATAGTCCCATTGTTCATGTGCTTCTAGAAATTTAGTTTCCCTTCTACCTACATGGTAGTAGTGCACAAAGAACTATAATCTTCATGGTTAATTAAGGCTTTTTTGTGAATAAAATTAATGCAAAATTTATTTAGATAGGCAATTGTTTATATGTAAAACATAAAAATTGCAACTAAGAATATTAAATGCTTCATATTAGTCTTCAGGCTAATAAAGTAACCATTAACTCTTATATGAGTTTACATAATCCAATTAATTCAATCGAATTAAAACTTAAAGCACTACCACCACTATATCAATACTTCAGGATATGAATTTCAAAAGAAACAAATTTATAAGCACATGATTTAAGTTCTTCTTCAGAAACTTTAAATGTTCTAATCTCTATCTATTCTTACATGTTTAGCTTCAATGCTTGATATTTAGCAGCTTCATGCTTGCTCGATCCTTCTAGGAGTATAATATATGCAAGTCATATATCCTGATTCATAGAGCTATCTAAAAATTCTGACTCAATTTCTACTTGATATTGAGTAATTCTGGATGATATTGGATAGATATTGGATACTTTTAGTACTTCGATGCTCTCGGTCTTTCTATTTTAAGAAATATTTCTTCTATAATTAGACAAAATCTTATTTACCATCTCGTCTTCTATGACTTTTAATCACAAAGCTTCAAGCTTATTATATTTGTTTATAGAGCAACATTATATCCCATATGGTCATATAGCTTGAAAATTCAATTTTCAATATTTCTGGCATTATGCAATCATAATGTAGGGTATTTTCTAGAATTTCTCATTCAGTGAGTCCCATAAAACCTTCGGGTTTTAGCTTGATCACATACTCATTCTTTGAGAGTAATATAAGGAACTATAATGTTTAAGGTAAACTCCACTTCAGTGGCAGTAGAATATCCTACTAGGATTTAATAAATGACCATATTATATAATTCTGTCATTTAGGATAAATCTAGGATATTTCTTCTTCACGAAGGTATTCATATATTATTATTACCGGAATCATCATGTGCGTATGAGTTTACTGCATGTAAACAAGTAGCAAAGTGCAAAAAGATAGCGAATGGTTATACAAAAATACTCTTAGAAACATCCTAATATTTTTTAGGATTATGATATATATAAATTTTCAGAATTAATATCAATCATTCATTCATCCCAAAAATTCATTATGCTAGGAAAAACAAATATGAGCCTCTTAAAGGTGATAAGTCTAAGATCTGCAGGATTCAGAGAGCTCATATATCTTATACCATGTTTCTAGCGTAATCATTCAAGATTTTATTCTTGCAATTACATGATATATAAATAAGTCATGATGTGCGATAAGTAATTGCATTCAAAAGAGCATAAGAAAATATCTACACATAACACATATACAAGAACATAAGATGAATATTGTAAATGTATTTTACAAAAAGAAACTTAGTTTCCTAATTTATCAAGGTGTATTCTGCAGGAATATAGTATCAAGGTGAAATTTACAACTTCCGGTTGCTATTTCGAAAATTTTCCCAATTTCGGCTCAATCGATAATCCATCTTTGGGAGACCGTAGTAGCGGGTGCCACCATGCTAGTGTGCCGCATTCAAGCGTAGATGTGCACACATGCAAGTGCTGGTACAGCTCACTGTAGCAGCGGCGCCGATGAAATCCATGCGATAGCACCTGCGTGGTACTACTTGCCGATGCAGCGACGTACTATTCATGTAGTAATACGTGGATCATCGATGATAGTGGTAGATACAGAACATGATTGAATGAGGGATTGGTTTCTTCTTCTTTTTTTCTCTCTATTTTTTTTCTTTCCTCCACCTCTTTTTTTCCCTCACCCTACCTATGCTTCCATTGATGCACCAGTTGAGGGGCCTAGCCCTCCTTTAGATCCGCCCCTGATCGTTGGTATATATAGGCGTGCAGGCCGAATTCACCATCATGGTCATAGATTCAGGCATACAACATTGGGTTTGAATTCAATCTTCGGTTTGGGACCATGGGACCGTGTAACTCGGATTCTGTCCGAGCACGACATGGGATGTCGCTTACCTTCTGTGTAGCCGACGCCAACGCAGGGCCGCCGGATCCAACTGTACCACTAGAGATGCAATCGTACTGACATGGGTGAGCGGTGATGTACTTGTGCACGTTCAGGTTGCCAGGCCAATACTCGTATAGATGTGCTTGCATGCACAAAATTCATGTACGTATACATGTATGCATGGTGTTTTATTTTCTTCTTGCATATTAATGTAACAATAACTAGCGACTGCTGGTCTATAGTTCTGCTTGCGTTCGGCGACGTGCAAGTCGCAGACGGTGGCATGTGCTGCGTGCTACTGCTTCTATGCAGGTTCAGGTAATGCAGCATATAAACATGATCTCCGATCCAATCCGTCATGTCGTCTTGTTTGTAGCAGATTTGATGTAAAAAGTTTTTACCCGTGCAGACACTGAGCACGGATTAATCTACTATACAAGATGTACATAACTTGTACCTTTCATTATTGATGCCAATTGATCTCCGTCGCTTGCCATGTAGGGTAGTGGTTAGTAGATATATATCGTGTAGGTGTTAGCATTATCGTAGAATTGTCTGCTTGGCGGCGATCATGCATGTCGATGCAGTGTAGATTTATTGTAAGTAGATGTAGTAGTTCCGTTCCGCTAACAACGTCGGGATGTCGACGTCGTCGAAGTAGTCGCGGTGGGACGGTGACACAAACGCCAATGTCGACCACCGGCGGCGGCTTCAATGACGACATCGACGAAGAGCTTGTCGTGCTGATAACGTGTTATAAAATATGTTGCCAGCCGTTAGGACTTTCTCATCTCCGTCTCTCATGATCAACATAGTAGATGAAAGTATAACACATAGACATAAGAGATAGGGAGACTATTCTTTATTTCTATAAATATTGGTGATTACAACCTAGAGCTCCCACGTATATATAGTCCTACTAAGATCTAAGAGTTTGGTAAGAACTCACGTACAAACGGATTAGGATTATGATTCTTCCTTCTCCTTTCTTTGTAGGATAGAGCCCGTATGTTTTACAACACCGGAGTTATCATGTACAGGAGGAAAAAACTAAACTGCCCTTAAGCACAATTAATTAGTTCTCCTAATCATCAACGGCTGCAAATAATTCTCAAGGTTGGAACTGGTGGTTCCTCCAAAGCACAGTAACAAACCTCATATTTTATTCCATCATTAAAAGATAATGTCATAGATATTTTTTTAGCATTATGATGTTATTGATATTATTGTGGTTCTAATTGCTTTTCGGTGTTTTCGCTGCGAAAAAAAAATCTCGGAGAACCAACCCATAGCATCGTATCTTTGGTGACGGAAAACCACGGTAGGGAATATTTGGCCACTACCAGAGCTGGAATCGTGGAAGGAAGAGGACTATAGCCTATAGGAGCCTCCCGACGTTAAAAAGACGCTACAGTGCTGATTCGAGTAGACTCTTAGATCCGCCACAGATTGAGCTATCATGCGCTTGCAGTTATATATATACAGTACACTGCAGAAAAGAAAGAGAAATTCTTGTTCTTCAATACAAATACAACGTTATGAATTATGATCGATTCACTTGGAAACTTAGCACATCATACATCTTCCCAACACACAGTACTAATCCATAACACGATAGACAGGGAGATGACATTGGCGTTTGAGCACCATAGACAGAGTATCCTGAACTTTCAGATGCCTCCAGCAACAGACAACACGAGACGAGGCAGTCATTCGTTTAACCCAAGTGCATTTGCCCTGCAGCTTCAGGCCTTGGAGCCATCCGGAGGGTGGACAACACCCATGCCACCGAGCCCGTGGTCACGGGCGCCGCCGCCGGCGGCACCTCCGCCCGCAGGGTGCACCCTGCTCCGCGCGAGGAGGAACCCGAGCGCGTGGCCGGCCACGGCGGCGAGGAGCACGCCGCCGTTGAAGGACATGACGGCCAGCATGACGAGGTACGCCGTGCCCATCCTGGCGGCGTGCGCCGCCGTGAGCAGCGCGGCCGAGGACGCCGGGACGCGCCCTGCTGCCCCACCCCCCGCGCCGCGGCGCGCGACGCAGCGCGAGGCCGCGGCGAGCGCCTCGGTGAGCGCGGCGAGCGCGAGCACGAAGAGGAGGCAGAGGAGGTACGCCCCAGCGCCGCGCGCGCCGGGCCACCCCGGGAACAGCACCACCGCGCGGTCGCCCCAGAAGAAGGACATGTGCATCATCGGCATGTGGGGAGCCGAGGCCGAGGCCGACGCCGCCTTGCCCGTCGTCGGCGGCGCAGGCGCCATCTCCATCGTCGGGCCCATGCCCTTCATCGCTGCTGGATCTTTGGACCGGAATAACGAGGACGAGTTCTTGGCTACAGCGAAGCGAGCGGAACTGACTGTGTATGTAGTAACCAACTCCGGTCGGAAGAGGCTGGATTAAAACGGCCTGGAGGTGGAGGCGAGCGCGCGTGCCCGTGACGACTTGCGAGAGATCAGGGGAATCGCGAGGCGAGGCTGCGCGGCGGCGGCGGGCTGGGCGAACAGCGAGGCAGGGTTTTGGCCTCGGGCAGCGCCCGTCTCGTGACTGAACAACTGGCCCTGGCCTAGGAGGGAAGCCGGGGACCCGGTGGTAGTTTCTCGCTTCCGAATCGCACAGCGGTGCCGTATTTTAAATCGATTCGACTGAGGTTTTGCAGCGTCTCGGCGTGCGGGAATCTTTCGGAGCCCAGCTAACCATAACTGCGCCTAGGCCATACAAAAAATTTCAACCCGGTTCAGCCTTTCGTTCGGCTTTGATAAATATTGCTGCAAACCAAGTTCAAAAGATTCAGGATTTCAACTAAACGCGGCCCTTATCCGCTTATCAGTTCCTAAACAAGGCCCTAGTTGTGCGGGTTCAGCCGTTCGGCTTTGGCTGCAAACCAAGAAGGATCACGCGCGGCCCTTATCCGCTTATCAGTTCCCGCAAGAGCAAAGGGCCCTCGCTCCCTCAGGCCTCGGCCTAGCCAGTGTTTCATGGAGAAGATTCATAAACCGCTTCAGCCTTCAGATTGGGCCCTGCAAGTCTAATTCCAGGTGTAACAACTCACCTGCCGAATCATCCATCCTCCACAACGCTGAAGCGTGAATCCACATCTGGCTATCTAGACGAACGCCGTGCCCCGATAAGTAGGAGGGCGTGGCAGCTGCCGCTTCCAAGGATTGGAATCAAGTGCTGAAGATGTTGTGGATCGAATGCAATGTTGATGTAGCTCAGCTATAACTCTTAAAAAATTGGATTCACAAGAGACAAGAGAGGGAATGCTTCACGTCTGATGCAAAACAGGAACAAGCTGGATTTGGGAGAGGGATCCTAACCATGTAGGAATAGAAAGCCGTCAACGTTGGAGGGCGCATGAACTGGAAATGTCACAGGCCGGCCACTGCAATGCAACACTGCCAAGGGTACCTAGACACATCGCTTCACCTTGAATTTAGTGAATATTTGCACACGATTGTTACCTTGGCAAACCACTTGGGATAATAGACAATTAGTATTGTGTATAGTACATTAGTGAATGTTATTGTATAGTTGAACCTATGTTGGGTTCAGGGCAGTTCCAACGAAACGAAAGAAACCAGTAGTTTCTATAACATAGGACACCGCACCAAAAAGTACTGCTTTCCAACCCATGGTTTCTATGAGTAATAATTATTTTCTCTTTCTCTCTCCCAACTCTATCTTCTTCCTCCAATGAGAGTGCGACATACGAGCCCTTAGAACCGGTGTACCCAATCAATAAGCGATTTCATTTTTCTTGGTGTATTGGGATTTCTTCATGAGGAAACCATTTCTATGATTTTTGCTCTCTTTCTTCATTAATTATGTTGCCATGTCAGCATTTTGCCTACGTGGCAAGTCATTTAATAAGAATAGAAACCATCATCAATGCACCATTGGGACTGCCCTCATAAACCGAGGTACTGCCTATTTGTAGGGATTATATATGCAAGAAATTGTTGGATCGGGTGCACAGTGCACTGGATGGTCCAGTGAAAAAAGTGAAATGTGCATGATTTGGTTGAGTTTCTAATAGTGGAGATAATCATGAAAAAAATATTTCTTGGTTGAGTTTTACATTACCCAATTCTATTAATACTAGATGATACCCGCACGTTGCTGCGGTGTACTACTCTACAAATCAAGGATCAACATCTAAATATCAAATTTGAAACGAACGAAAGGAAGAAGAAGAACCAATGGAAAAGAAAAAGAAAATAAGCCCATAGCCACATCAATCCTTCTTTCTTCTTCTCAGGCAGGCCACACGACCCAATAAGACGACACGCACGTGCAACCCTTTGCCATCAACCTTCTCACGATCGTGACTCCATGGACCGTGAGTCCCTCCGCACGCCTCGTACCCAAAATCTTGGATTCCCTGATCTGTATCAGATCAAGCGACGACCACCACCCTTCGATACTCCTGCATCCAGCGACGGCAGGCTCCTGCATCCGGCTGACGGGGAGGGCTCCGGGCGCTTGGTGGCGGTGGCCGGCCAGGCTCTCCCAGGGGCCTGCGTCTGGTGGGCGGCCGACAGCAGCTGGGGCCAACCGGCCAAGGGGCAGCGGCCAGCAGCAGCCAGAGAGGACCGAGGGAGGCGGCCGGCCAGCATAGCGCCGTCGTCGTCACCGGAAGCGAGCAGCACTGCGACGTACGACCTGCTGTTGCCGGCAGAAGCGGCACGGACGCGGGCGCTGGAACTGGGACGCGTCGTGCACTTCATCCACGTGGTACTCGGCGCTCTCCTCTTATATGTGCGCTGCGAGCAACACTTTAATTAAGGGAAAATGGTGTTTTTGCCCCTTACACAGATGTGCAATTATGATTTTACTCTCGTGGGACTTTTGTGATTTTGTGCACTTTCACAGTTCAGTCAACATTTTGCCTGGTGGTACTCGCATTGACTCAAAATCGCTTGACTTATATGAGCTTTAAGGGCAAAATTACAAAGTTGAAAAAACGAGGGCAAAATCATAATTGTACATCAAAGTAGGGGTAAGAACACAAGAGCCCCAATTAATTAATGGCAGCTGGGGAATCGGAAGGGGAGCAGACAGAGGGAAATCATCATGAGACAAATGCCTCTTCAGTTCCTATACCACAAATTGGAGTTACCGAGAGCCACCGCCCACCAGCGTATTGACATGTGGTTGTGGGTCTTTGGATGACGTGGCTTCACCAAATCACAAAGAAATCAGTTAGTAGGGTTCTCCTATTTATGTATAGTAGATTAATATATAAAAAGTTATTAAAGTAGGCTTACATGTCGGGTTGTGTCTTCATACAGATCAAGATATACATGCATTCATAAACGATAAATATATATGTTATGTTTTAGCGATCATGGAAAATATTTCCTTAATGACTCATTAGACACATCTAATTATGCTATCAAAGTATTTAAAATTATATTAGTTAACCATGACATACAATTTATATATCTTGTAACTTTATTTATATTTATACAAAATAATTATCCACATATAATTCCTTGATAAGAAAATTCAAATATTTTGTGAAAAGGGTAGTGCAGACCAAATGTGGCTATATCTTCTCGGCCTCTGAGATTCCATTGAAGTAAACGGGCATTATAGGCTTAAATATTAATATTTTTCTTGAGGTTAGCACCGCTGCCCTAGCCTAGATCTTGCTTCAAGCTCTACCACTAATTTTGGGCAACGTGTATAGCTTTTAAATGATTGTTTATGTCATCGTAGTACATAATGAGTGTTGCCTACAATCTGAAATCCTTATTCTGAAAAGTACAAAAAAAAAAGAGTTTACAAAAGACAAAATAAGCACAAGAGTTTTAAAATAACTTGAGGATAAAAAAACTATAGGAACTAATAAGATTAAGCTCTGAAAATCAAAATTTATATTCATGGCGTCATAAGATATAGGCTGCAACAAGAGTCACCATACTTAAGCTAAGATTTCAACTAAATGTATATTGAAAATACTAGGTACCATGCAAAGACAACTCTGAATACAAATGAAAAACATATAAATCAGTAGTTGATAAATTTATAACAACTACTCCCTCTATTTCTTTTTATGTGTCGCTATGGTATTCGTGTCAGTCAAACTTCCTTAAGTTTGACTTGATTTATAGAAAATATTAGCAACATTTGTATCTCTAAATAAGTTTATTATAAAAATAAATTCAACGATCTATCTAATGATACTAATTATATATACCTTAAATATTAACATTTTTGTATTATATATATTCGGTCAAAGTTGATTATGTTTGACTTCTTAGAAAGTAAGAACAACGATTAAAAGGGGACGGAGGGAGTAGATCGAGGCTAAAGAATAGAGACTACATAATATCTACTATGCCTGTGTGCTAGAAAGTAAACAAAGATAAAAAAAAACATGCATTTTAATATATTTAATTTTTATTAGTAAGAGACTAATGAGTACCCGTGTGAGAGCACGCAGATGGACTACTGGAGACAATCGACAGTATAGCAATTTTACAACTGCGATTATTATTTGGATGGATATCAGTAAGTCCTACTGGCTGGAACAATATAAGGCACTGCAAGAACCATGGGAAGAGATGGTTGCTGACAATATGAATAGAAAATTTATAAGAAGCATGGGATACGGCCCTATTCGTTTCGCTGAAAAGCCAGGCTGAAAAGTATTGTTCGTTAATTTATTGTGAGAGAAAAACACCGTACCATGGCTGATAAGTTCAAGCGAACAGAGCCACCTGTGTTCAAATCAATCTAGTTCACAATGGTTCGCTTGATCTTATCCTACCTAAGCCTATATACACGAGTAATCGTTTCTGTTTGTTTCTATATGATAGTATCTGACATCTTAATATTACGCGGGGTGTTAGAGGCGGATTGATAAGATAGATGATCGAGTTTTTATCGAGGGCAACCTATTTATTGGGCAAGAAAGAAATGGCTGCATCTTTTGATCTTCCATAAATTTAAAAAGTTGGAAAACAACCATTCTACACAACATCGCATTTATTTCCTTTCTGGTGACAGCTAGCCTTTTAAGTTAGCTCTTTAGTGTTAGGTTGATCTCCACCAATTTGGCCCAACGGCTAATTGGTCCCTTGACTCGTGCCCTGATCGGGGTGCCCAGCCGCCCTCCTGGCTGATGGGCCCCCGTCGTGCAGCGCTATGTAAAGGAGGTGAGAGCTGGGGCTCGAGACACGAGGTTCATTGCAGCCGCCAGTTCCTCATCGAGTCTAACCCTAGTCCGATCTAGAGGGAGCGCTGTGAGCGACGAGAAGTTCCACCGGCCTTCACCGCCGTC